AGGCGAAAGTTGATTTAAGTAAAAGCCAAAGAGCTGACTTAGCTTGCCAGGTCTTCTACTCCCAAGGGTGAACCTATGTCACAGAGCACCCTCATACTGGATGCTCCAGCCAGGGCCCCAAAATTTATTTAAAAAGCATCCTTGTGAAGACATGGTTTATCTTTATGGATGAATGCACAAGTGAGTGAGATTTGATGGAAGGAGAAAAGGTTTCTTTCAGAGGGCTTGTTTCTAAATGATTTTGCTGCTTTTTAGCCATTAATTCATTCTATAAATATTTATTGAGAAAAACAGATGGCTCAACTCTAGCACATCCCGACGTGTACAATGTCATACCTCTTTAGGCTCTACACTTGGCGCAAGAGAGGAGCAGATAGGTGACATACCCAGTACAACACTGGGAGTCTTCAGCAGACACGGTCTAAGTGCCGACGTTCAGAGGAGCAAGTGTGAATGTTGCCTCTGCCAGTGTAAGGAGGCTAGAATGCCCACAGCATCTATTACTTGAACTAAGTCATAAAATTACAACTCTTGCAGAGGACCTGAGTTTGGTTCCCAGCACCCATATAGCAGCTTACAACTGGAATCTATAATTCCAGTTTCAGAGGATTTAATGCCCTCTTGTGGACTCCCTGATCACTCACATGCATGTATGAATATACAAACAGACACACGCAGAGACATAAATTTTAAAAAATTTATAGACGAAATCTGTAGAACAATAATATGTCTTGAGATGGAGGTGGTGTTAACTTTATACCTTAACAATTTTCAGTCCAATGTTTTCTTTTTTTTTTTTTTGGTCTTTTTGAGACAGGGTCTCCCTCTAGCCCCAGCTGTCCTGGAACTCACTATGTAGACCAGGCTGGCTTTGAACTCACAGAGATCTGCTGCCTCTGCCTCCCGAGTGCTGGGACTAAAGGCGTGCGCCACCACGCCCGGCTTATTTTATAGAAAACTTACAATCACTTTCTTCCTGTAGGTGCTTTTCAAACATTTAAGAATGTTCAAAGATGGGCTGGAGAGATGGCTGGACAATTAAAAACGCTTGCTGCTCTTGCAGAGGACCCTGGCTCAGTCCTCAGCACCTATGTGATGGCTTATGATCACCTATATCTGATCCTGTTTTCTGGCCTCTGCAGACATCATGCATGCATGTGGTACACATGTGGTACATGTAAGCAAGCACTCATACACACGAAATGAAAATAAATAAATCTTTTATTTGACCTCCTAGGAGGTCATGCTCTCCTCCTGCTCATTCGTCTTCTCTCAGTTTACTGCATCCTCATCAACATTAACATTAACACTGGCTCCAGGTTTCTAGAGCAACTGGCAACTCTTCAATACTCAGCTTGCTGAGCTCTCTTTTGCAGTGTGCTTTGGAGACTGTCAACATTAGCTCTTCTTTAAAACACTTGCTGCCTTTGGCCTTGGTGAGACTTGCTCCTGCTTTTCTTTTTAGAATCCATTATTTTTAGTTTATGTGTATGAGGGTATTGCCTACATGCGTATAAGGGCACCCATGCCATGCAATGTCCCTGAAGGTCAGAAGGAGGCATCAGATTCCCCTGGAACTGGAGTTACAGGATGGTTGTTAGCTGCCATGTGGGTGCTAGGAATTGAACAAGAGCAGCCAGTGCTCTTAACTGCCGAGCCAACTCTTCAGGCCCCTTGTCCTGCTTTCCTTCCTTTCCTCTGGTTACTTCTTTGTATTGTTTGCAGAATTACCTTCCTCTTATGACCACTAAATTTAGCTCCTGAAGAGTTTTTCCTGACTTTCTCTTTGCCTTTGATACTCTCTCCAAGTCAACTCATCCCCATTTGGGTCTTCAGTGACGACCTGTACTTCAATTCAACTTTATAATTTTGGTCTACTTCTCTCTTTTGAGGCTCAGGTTAAAATATAACGAAATCCCCATAAGAATGTCTAAAAGGTATCACCCCGAACTCAACTTATTTAAAGTCAAACCTATGTTGTCCTATCTCAAAACTGGCCTTTCTTTGGTGGAAAAACTCCATCTATACAAAATGTATAGATGTATATGTATATTTATACGAAGTGAAATTTTATTCTTAATACCTTCTCTCTAGTCTCCCCAAACTCAATTTATTCTATGTATCTTTCTGGTCTGCCTGTAACTCCCTGAATCTACCACTCTTTCTTAAATTTAAGCTGCCACTGACTTCCCTTGTGCTCTGGCAGTAACCTGCTAACTGGTTTGCATATGCATATGCTTGCTGATAAATTCTCCATGGCACCACTCCAGTGATCACTTCAGAATATAGCATAACTAGGGCTGGAGAGATGATTCAGCAGTGAAGAGCACTTACTCCTCTAGCAGAGGACCCAAATCTGAGTCTTAGCACCTGCATCAGGTGGCTCATAAACACCTATAACTCCATCTCTAAAGGATCTGATGTCCTTTTCTGGCCTCTGTTGGTACCTGCACACATTCACATGTATACACACACAGACCTATGTAAATTAAAGATAAATAAGGAAACAAGGCCTCCACCATCACCTGAGGACTACACATCCTGTGTGCAACCCTAGATAGAAACTCCCACTCCTGCCTTGACTCCACCCCTGCTGCCTGAAGACCTATGTCCTGAGCACCTCCTCCAGGTATTGTCCCTCACCCCACTGTGACTTCATCCCTACCATCTGAGATCCATTGTCCTAAGGCCCCACCCCAGGTAGCCACATCCCTCATGCCTTAGGCCTGCCACTATGAACTCTTCCTCCCAGGTGGGTCCTGTGCACCTCCCCAAAGTAGCACCACCCACTTCCACTATGACCCCAGCCCCTATCACCTAAAGATTACCTGTAAAAACCTGTGAACCTTCTATAGATTTCAGAGGATCTCCAGCATGAATCTTGTAACTGTACAGAAGGTTTGCTCCTATGCTCAGAACTTACTCCTAGCCCTAGCTGAGCTGGGACCACTTCTGATACCCCATTTGCACATCAGTACTGAACAGTCCCAAGACTGAACTTTAAGCACTATTCAGCTAGTCCATAAACTGACAAATTGAGGTAAAAGCAAACAGAGATATAAATGCCCATATAGCAAAAGTGGGACAAATATCCACACCAAGAAACACTACAAATGACCCAACTCCAGATGCCTAGGGCCCATGGCAAAAACACAAAAAACATGAATAACCAAGATAATATGTCTCCCCCCCAAATGAATACTCCCATAGTAGTATTCTTAGAGAAAAGCAGCTTAGATGACACACAAGACATATCAAAACATCAATTACAAGTATGCTTGAGGAACTCAAAGAGGGTCTGAATACACGTTGGAATGAAGACCACAGAAGCATGAACAGATGAACGAAATAAAACAAGTCAAGAAACGAAAACAGAATTTTCTTTTCGAGGCAGGCTCTCCCTGTAGTCCCATTGGCCTAGAACTCACTCTGTAGACCAGGTTGATCTCGATCTCACAGAGATCCACCTGCCTCTGCCTCCCAAGTGCTGGGATTAAAAGCATGCACCACCATGCCTGGCAAAAATAGAATTTAACAAAGAGATAGAATTACTGAAGAAAACTGAAGTAAAACTTGAAATGGAAAACTCAGCAAGTCAAATAAAAAGCTCAGTGGAAAGCCTCACCAATAGAATGGGTCAAGAGGAAGAGAGAAAACCAGGGCTTGAAGACAGGGTAGAGGAACTGGATCACTCAACCAAAGAAAATGCTAAATCAAAAAACAAAAACAAAAACAAAAACAAAAAAACATTGATGGACCATACAGGAACTTTGGAACATTATAAAAAGACCAAACCTACAAATCATACGTACAGAAAAGGGGAAGAAACCCAAGCTAAGGCACAGAAAATATTTTTAACAAAATCGTAGAAGAAAATTTCCCAAATCTATCTATCAAGCTGCAAGAGGTATTCAGAATACCAAGTAGACAGGACCAGAAAAGAAATTCTCCACATCATATAAAAGTCAAAACACTAAATGTTCAGAACAAAGTAAGTATATTGGAAGCTTCCAGAGAGAAAGGCCAAGTCACATATAAAAGTAGGGCCATCAGAATAACAGCTAATTTGTCAATGGAGACTTTAAAATTCAGAAGGCCTTGGACTGGTGTTCTACAAGTTCTAAAAGACCATAGATGCCAACCCAGGCTACTATACCCAGCAAAACTATCAGTCATAATCAAAGGAGAAAGAAAAAATTTCCATGATAAAAACAGATTGAATGTGGGACTGGAGTGATGGCTCAGGGTTAAGAGTATGGCCTGCTCTTGCAGAGGACCCAGATTTGGTTCCCAGCACCCACATAGCAGCAAACAACCATCTGTAACTCCAGTTCCAGGGGATCCAATGCCCTCTTCTGATCTCTGTAGGTATTGCAGGACACAAGTACACTTACATACAAGCCAGCAATACACTCATACCCATAAAATAAAAATAATAAATAAAATATTAAAGAAAACAGATTAAAGGAACAGAGATCTAAATGCCTATTAAGATCTTTATGACCACTAAGCTATATCTACAGGGGATATTGGAAGGAATACTTTGGTCTGAAGATAAGAATAAACACACCCAAAAGGGTGCAGGAAATAGACAATTCCAAAACAGTCAAAAAAGGTCTATGAAAGAACCACCATCCCAGCAAAATGATAGAAATTAGTATACATTGTTCAATAGCAACTCTTAATACTAATGGTCTCAATTTCCCAATAAAGACACACAAACTAACAGCCTGGATTATATGACAAAATTTATCTTTTTTCTGCTTCCAAGAGGCATATTTCACTAACAATAAATACCATTTTAGGGTAAAAGGATGGGAAAATATATTCCAAGCAAATGGAACTAAGAAACAAGCATATGTGGCTATTTGATATCTGACAAAACAAATTTCAAATCAAAGCTGGCCAGAAGAGGTAATGACGGTCACTTTATTCTTTTTTTTTTTTTTTTTTTTTTAAAGCTCAAAATGACTTTATTGTTGGGGAAGCCCTGCAGCCGCTCAGAACTTCTGGAACTGCTTCTTGGTGCCGGCGGCCTTGGTGACCTTGAGCGCGTTGGAGCGCATGGTCTTGCTCAGGGGCCTGCACTCACCCACAGTGACGATGTCACCTATCTGTACGTCCTTGAACAGGGGGACAGGTGCACGGATGTGTTCTTGTGGCGTTTCTTGAACCGATTGTACTTTCGGATGTAGTGGAGATAGTCCCGGCGGACAACAATGGTCCTCTGCATCTTCATCTTGGTCACCACACCAGACAGGATCCGACCCCGGATGGAGACGTTACCGGTGAAGGGACATTTCTTGTCTATGTAAGTGCCCTCGATGGCCTCTTTGGGTGTCTGGAAGCCTAGACCGATGTTCTTGTACCTGGGGAGCTTCTCCTTGCCAGTTTCTCCCAGCAGGACCCTCTTCTTGTTTTGAAAGATGGTGGGCTGCTTTTGGTAAGCCCGCTCGGTCTGAAAGTCCGCTATCTTCCCAGCAGCCTGAGGAAAAGAGCAGGGCAGCCCAACCCCTTATTCTTTTTTTTTTGTTTTTGTTGTTGTTCTTTTAGAGACAGGGTCTCCCTGTAGCTCCAGCTGGCCTGGAACACACTGTGTAGACCAGGCTGATCTCGAACTCACAGAGATCCATCTGCTTCTGTCTTCCAGAGGATATTACAATGCTAAACAAATATGCACCAACACAGATGCACCCAACTTCATAAAAAATACTATTTGATCTGGCTGGGCTTGGTGGTGCATGCCTTTAATCCCAGCACTTGGGGGGCAGTGACAGGCAGATCTCTGTGAGTTGGAGGCCCGCCTGGTCTACCTAGTGAGTTCCAGGACAGCTGGGGCTACAGGAAGACCCTGTCTCAAAAAAGACCAAAAAAAAAAAAAATACCATTTGATCTAAAACCACAGATTAATCCCAACACAATAATTGTGGATGACTTTAGTACCCAACACTCACCAATAGACAGGTCATCTAGACAAAAAGTAAATAGAGAAACATTGAAGATAAATGACAACATAAATGAAATGGGCCTTATAGACATCTACAGACCATTCCACCCAAACACTAAAGAACACACATTTTTCTCAGAAGCCTATGGAATTTTGTCCAAAATTGACCACATATTAGGACCCAAAGCAAGTCTCAACAAATAGGAAAATTGAAATAATATCCTGCATTCTAGTTGACCACAAAGAAATAAAGCTGGATTTCAACAGCAATAGAAACGACAAGAAATACACAACCTCATGGAAACTAAACAACACACTACTGAATGACAATTGATGAAAGAAGAAATCAAGCAAGAAATTAAAATATTCCTAGGGTTGAAAGAAAATGAAATCACAACGTACCAAATACCACAAATACCAAAATTTATGGGACCCAATGAAAGCAGTCCTAAGAGGAAAGTTTATAGCACTAAGTGCCTACATAAAACATTGAGAGATCTTGGTTTAATACATTAATGATACACCTAACTGCCTTGGAAAAATCAAGAGCAAACAACTCCCTCAAACAATAGACAGGAAGAGATAAAAATCAGGGATGAAATTAATGAAAGAGAAACAAACAAAAATAATACAAAGAATTAATGAAATGAAGAGTTGGTTCTTTGAAAAGAGTAACAGGATTGATAAACTTGTAGCCAAATTAACCAAAAGAAAGAGAAACAAGACTCAAATTAATAAAATTAGAGATGAAGAGAGAGACATCACAACAGACCCTGAGGAAACTCAGAATCATAAAGACATAATTTTAAAAAATGTATATTCCACTAAACTAGAAAATTTAAGAGAAGTGGCTAACTCTCTAAATATGTACCACCAACCAAAATTAAATCAAAATGATATG